TTGCCTTTATTTGTCACAAAATTTAATTCCGAGTCAATTTAAATATTAAAAAAAAAACTTCTGTGAAAAAAACTTTTTTGAACAACAATCTCAATAAAATTATAATAAGTATTGTCCGAAAATTTTACAATTTTGATTAATTTTCACTTTCTAAAATTACTGTTTAGAAACTTTAATAATTTTGAATTAAAATTCTACTTTATATTTATTTGAATTTACTTAATATTTTTATTTATTTTTTTTAAATTAAAATTTTCTGTATAAAAATTGATTATGTAAAGACAGCATTACATTTGAATGAATATAAACTGTTTCATTTGCGAAGCTATAAAAGCTTTTAAGGGGATGAGTAATTTAACAACAGCTTGCAGATAAGGTTACTTAATCCCTTTATCTAACATAAATTGAGAGAAAAGCATTGTATATACAAGGTACAATATATTCTTGTCGAATTTGTCAGGTGAACACGCTGTGGATCCTGAATATGCTTTGATCTCACTACGTGTGAATCAAGCAAGTAATAGAGTACAAATATAACGAGACCAGTGATAAGATAAGGACATGACGGGATTTTTTTATTTTTTCATTTTTCAATGAGAAAATTTTCTTTTCATTCGAAGGAGAAAACGACAAACTTAGTACTTTGTGCAAACTTCAGTTCCATGTTATTCAATTTTTATCAGGTTAAAAATGTTCTTGTTATGTTAACCTTTAAAGTGCTATGCCGGTCTGACAGACCGCTATTAAAATTTTCTTTGCTTGTAACTTTTTTTCAAAGTATAATAAGAACTTGAACTTTTTAGTAGCTTCATATTTTATAAAAATCTGTTAGGAGACAATTTTTTCAAAAAATTTTATTCGTTAAATTTTGTAATATAAATAAATATTTGAAGTATAGCGGTCTGTGAGACCGGGGTTAGCTTTAAGTGAAAGTATATTCCAGTATATTCCCATGAGTATCGTCTGCGCAGCTTGACGCGCAGCTAGTTCTACTGACAGTTCTCATAGACTGCATTTATAAAATAAATAAAATAAATAAATGCATAATACAGAAATGACTTTTTTTGTTAAAAAGTAAAAAATATTTATAATAGTTGTCTTTTAAAAATTATAAATGACTAAAAAACTGTCAAAAGGGAATAGCGGTCTGACAGACCGGGGTTAGCACTGAGCGTGATTTTTCAACACTTAGCACTTTAAAGGTTAAGTTAATAAAGTCCCTAAAGTTGGCGTCCACGCTCAGCGTCTAAAAATATTTTCTATTATTTTTAGTGATTCAAAATGTCACTAAATTCATTGTTTCCATTTATCTATACAGTTGAAACTTTTGTTTCAACTCCAAAATCTTTTTAAAAAAAATTGTTTAAGTTTATTGTCTCAGAGAAAATATAAATATTTCACTACAATTGGTTGTAGAAATTTTGAAACGCTAAAATAACTTTATAGTGATTTTTATAAATGAAAATTGCAGTCAAGCTGTACCTATCTTAACATTCATTCGGGATGCGTAATGCATTTGTATTCATGTCACGAGCACAGTGCTTCCTCATAGAGGTCATAAAATTTTCTATTTTGCTGTTTAACCGACTGTTTTACATACCAATTAACCCGAGTTAATTTTTTTAAAGCCAGTAATAATTTTCTACAGCTCAATCGAAAAAGATTCGCAGACTAAATTTGAATCGGTCAAAAATAGCAATAGTTTAGAAGCAAAAATATCTGCCACTGCTTCAAATATACTTATATTTCATTAAATTATTCTCAGTTAATGATAACTAAAATTTAAAAATAACTTCCAGTCTATTTTTAGTAACCGGTCATTTTTTCCACTACTTACAGAAGCAAAAAGTCAGTCAAGATTTTATTATTTTTCTATTTAAATTTTTTTTTTTTCTATAAATTTTATTTTTCTAAAATTGTTTGTTTTAGTTTTATTTAAATTTACCCATAAAATATACAACACTACTGAATTTTAGCTTCTTAAAATTCTTAAAATAAAATGGACCACTTGTTCTTTGAAAACAAAATTCTATTTGTTCTTTGAAAACAAAATTCTATAAAGAATTCTTCTCATATAATTTTTAAATAAAAGTACAACTGTATAGCAACTTTTAGATAAATTGACCAAAAGGGTTGAATTTATAATAGAAAAAATAATTTATGAAACGAAAGTTCCTCAAGTTTATAGAAACCTAATGTTTATTTTCAATTAAATTTGTTCATTGTTTCTAATTAGATTTCTAGTCATTATAATGTTTCATGGTATAATCCTTTTTAATAACATTCACGCCAAGTGAACAAAGTTAAGATAACTTTAACTTGACGTAACTTTTTGAATCCAACACATTTTAATTAATAATTAATTAAAATTCATTAAAAGAGTTAATTAGAAAAATTTATTTTTGTAAGTTTTTCAACTTTATAAAATTCAATCGGGGCTATTCCACTACAAGCTATTTTTAGTTTGTAAAACTATTTATCTTTTTTTTTATTTTTCTTTTGTAAAAACGTTACGAATTTCAGAATCGCATCCCAATCTGTACGACTTATGAAAATCTTAATTATAATAAAAAATACAGAAGATGAGAATTGATTTTATAAGTCGATTATAGTAGGAATTTATTTTCTATTTTGAAACATAAATGTTTTAATTTTGTTTCAGAAAATTGAAAATAATTAAAATTTCATAAAATTTTTATAACATAAACTCAAAAACTTATAAACTATTATTTTTGAAGTTAATTAACCTAAAGAAATTATTTTAAAGTTTATCAAAAATACTTTTCAAAGCTTTTAAAAAATTTACAATAATTGCAGCTTCTTTTTTAACCGCATATTTTTATGAAAACGATTTTTTAAATCCTACACAAAAAAAATAATGTTTGTTAACTAACTTACGCAAGAAAGCACTTTGAGAAATAATATTAAAATTTTCAAAAACTACAAAAAAAAAATCGAATAACAAAATAAAAATAGAAATAATATTAAAATTTTCAAAACTTACAAAAAAATCGAATAACAAAATAAAAATACGAAACAAAAAAAGAAACTTGTATGACGGTCTCGAAAATTGTTTTCCATCATTTAAAGTAATTTTGAAATTATATTTTTGTCAATTTTTTTAAAATCACCATATTTTTGAAGAAGTTTAATTATAATTATGAACTTGATTTCTTCGATAATTAATAACTTAAAAAAACAAGATAATTTAAAAAAATTTTAATTTACTTTGTTCGAAGATAATTGAATCTTAAAAAATTATAACAAAACAATTCTAAGAACTATTTTTTTTAAAAATATTATAATGCAATTTTTTTAAAATAATTAAATTTTTTAAAAAAATTTTTGTTTAATTTAAAAAAACGAATTAAGTTTTCGAAGAATTTCAATTAAAAATTTTTAACACAACTTTTTTCTCCAAAATTTTATATAATAATTCTAAAAAATTCTAATGCTATTATTTTTTGTATGTATTTTATTTTTCGGAAATATCAAAATATATGTAATTGAAAATAGTGAAAATTTAATTTTAAAAAATTATAATGAAAAAATTCAAAGAATAACTTTTTTCAAAAATATTTTAATAGGTATAATTTTTTAAAAGTTAATTTTCAATAATTTTCATTATTAAATTTTATACTTGAAGATTTTTCATTAAATCATTTGAGAATTGAAATATTTTCAAAATTTACCAATAAAATTCTTCAAAAGTTGATAAAAAATTTTAAATTTAAAAAAAAAAAATTTTTTTTTAATTTTAAATTAAAAATTTTTAAAAATTGTCATAAAATACTTGGGAAAAAATCAATTATTTTCAATTTAATTTTTCAAAAATTGTAAATATTAAACATTTTTTTATTTGTATATTTTAAAAATTTAATTAGAAAAATTATTCAAAAAAAAAAAAAAAAAAAAAAAAAAAATCCAAAATTCAATTATTTTTCTACAATTTTTAACTAAACTTCAACTTTAAATAAATTATTTTTTAATAATTTTTAGAAAGTTCTTCGAGAATTCAATTATTTCAACATTACATTCAATTTTTTTTTATAATAATTGTAACTATAACTGTTTATTTTTTTGAAAAATTTAAATATTTTCAAAAAATTATAATACAGAAAATGTAATTAGAAAAATCATTTAAAAATAATTAATAACACTATATAAATCGAAAAAGTTGCATTTTATACTAAAGATGTGGTGTTTTTGTTGCAACATTTGGAAAAAAGTCGAAAAGTCGCAATTTTTGAAAATAAGTCAAAAAAGTAGAATTTTTCAAAAATAGTCGAAAAAAATGTTGAAAATGTCATAATATTCATCGCCATTTTGTTTCCACAATTTGAAAAAATTAATTAAACATCGAATCCTCAATATTAACGATCCGGAAACTTCAAGACCTACAACTTCCCTTGAATATTCAATCGGAAAAATGCATAAATTATAATGCACTTTCATTTGCACATCCGCCATTTTGAAATTTTCGAAAATTAAATTTCCCCAAAGTGCCATCTTGCAGGAAAAGCTAAAAACGAGAACCTCACTTGTGACCCGGTAAATTTTTAGCTTAAGGGCAGGTCAAAGTCGTGGTGGCACTTTTTCCATTCAAGCTCCACATGAAAATCGAAACGACTTTGACCTTTTTCTTTCAATAAAAAAAAAAAAAGTGCATTTCTCCCATGTATTTTCAATAATATCTATAATTCTATACCGGCCTTTTTATTGATTGACCGGAAGTTCGCAAAAAGAGAGAAATAAAAAATTTGAAATGGAAAAATTTTATTTCAGTGAATCATCATCATCATCGGTATTACTGATGAAATTAAATTAAATTTCTAATGTGCGGCTAAAAATGAAAAAACTAATGAAAAAAACTGATACATGTACGTACATGATCGGCAAATTCAGACATCCGAAATTGTGAAAATTAATTGAAAATGAAGTGTGCTCCAATCTTGAATCGACTGGAAAAACTGACACCTAGACATCGTTTAAATACATACTCATCAGCCGAAGCTGTATCCTTGGAAGTACATCCGCCCATTGCCGAAGACCCGCTTCTTTTCCCTTCTTTTTTTTAGATTCAAAAATTTACAAAACGTACAAAAAACTGTCTATGCGAACACTATGGCACAACCTGAAAAACGGTTGTTATCACTGAAAGAGTGCAATAAATTCCACTAGGTGTTCATTTGCACTTTTCTTCTCTACTAAAAGATTGTCTCCGACTGGAAAAACACAACTTCTTTTCAAAATTCTCAAAGAAGAAGTACACTTATCAATCCAGTTACAAGATTGAAAATTTCTTTTCGCATGTATAAAATAACGTTTGTTGGATAAATACTAATTTTGATAATTTTTGCTTAAAAAAAATGTATTTTTAGGGGTGTTGCTTTCTCCACGAGGTTATACACGAATTGAAGGTATAATTTTTCAAAGTACGTGGATTATCAGTAACTGGAGCATATAGAGTCTAATTCAATTCTCCGAGCATTGGGTATCTTAATATTTAAAGTTAATTGTAAGATATAGACTATAAGTGTAACATGTGATGTATATATAGTTGGTTGGTTGGTGAAACAACGGGTGTTGTAAAATTATGAAATATATATGGATGTGATTTAATAATTATAATAATATTGCGTGATGATGTGAGCACTACAGTATCTACGCTATCACTAAGCAGGGAGGCAGCAAGCAGTGGGTATTCAGTACACCGTGATCAGTCCTTCTCTCTCTTTCTCCCTACTTTTCAGGGTGGGGCACAACGCCGTCCAGCATGGGATAAACGGTCGATAACACGCACCTATACCATAAACCCGCACTCCATATACATTCCCAATTTTAATATATTTATTCAAATAATTTCACCTACGCTAAAAATTAATTATTTCATTTTTCAAAATCCAAACAATATTCATTCGTTTAAAGATCAAATAAAAACACCTCCTTTTCGAAAATTACCCTTAGTTTCATTTTGGAATAATTTTTTCAAAAGAAATGCAATTTCTAAATTTTAGACCGAAATTCTCACCTCAAAAATATGACCGAAATATTTCTCATTATTATCATCCTCATAGAAGCATTATTTTACCGAAAATTTTCAAACTCGATTTTTGCACTTTTTTCTGTATGTTTTCTAATCTAAAATCAAATTTCTAAGAAATGTCATTCCATGTGTGTAAACATTTTCATAAATATCTCGAGACAATAAAGAGACTTGGGGATGAATTTTTTTTTAAATTTTAGGTCTCACGTGCGGATATAAAATGAAACAGGGTTGTTGCCACAAAATGTTGTTTCTTTCCTGGTTTCCAGACAAAATTTTGACTTTCCCTGACCGTAACGAACAGGGTGGTCAAAAGTTTCAGTTTATCAATTTCCCTAACAATTTACTGACGCATTAAAATTTATTGAATTGAAAAATTTTAATTATAAATTTCAAACATGATTTTTCTCTCCAAAATTTTAAAAATATTTATAAAATAAAAAATTATTTTTGCATGTACCTATTTGAATTTTCAAAAATAAATTATTGAAAATATTGAAACTTAAAAAATTATAAGTTAATTTTCATCTCTAAATTTACGTTTAAAGATTTTTCATTAAAATTTTTGTTAATTCAATTATTTTCGAAAATTCACAATTAAAATTCTAAAAAAGTTGATTTTCAAAAATTCTAACAAAATACTTGAAAAAAATTAATTATTTTTAATTGAATTTTACAACATTTCAATTATTCAAAATCATTTAAGAGTCGAAAAAAATCTCAATTTTCTAATTTCCCTGACAAAAAATCTTTTTTTTTTTGTTATTTCCCTGACTTTACCTTTTTAAAATTATTTTCATCATTTCAATTCAATTAATATTTTTTAGAATTTTTAACTAAAATTCTTCCTCAAATCAATTATTTGTAATAATTCTTGAAAAAGTTCTTTGAGAATTTTCATATTCATTTGCTTACAATTCAATTTTACAAAATTTCGATTATTCAGAAATTCTTCAAAAAAAATATTTATTAGAAAATAAAAACTTTAAATAATTTAAGAAAAACTTTAATTGAACTTTCTGAAAAAAATTAATTCTACAAAATTGTAAGTAAAAAGTATAAAAAAAATTCAAATTTTCAAAAATTATAAATTGAAACCTTTTCAAAATTCAATTATTTCTAAAAATTCAAGCTTTTAATATTCAATTATTATCTAAAATTTTAACTGAAATTCATTTTTAAATCAATTTTTATTAAAAAATTTTACAAGAATTAAATTATTTAAATACCTACAAAAATAAATAATTTATTGAATAATTTCATGTTTTTTAAAATTGAATACTTTTGAAGAATTTTATCAACAAAATTTTAAAATAATTGAATTCTTTCGACGAATGTTAATTTAATTTTTAAGAATAATCACATTTTTCAACGAATTTGATTAAAATTGTATTAAAAATAATTGAAATTCTGCGATGAGTTTTATTATTTATGAAAATAATTGAATCCTTATAAAAAATTGAAATATTTATGAAAATAATTAAATGTTTGCGTAGAATTTGATCAAAAATTTTTTTAAATAATTGAAATCTCTTGGAAAATTTTAGTAAAAAAGTAGCTATTGAAAATTATTGAATTGATGACAATTTTTGAAAATAATTGAAATTTTGATAAGAATTTTATTTAAATTTTTGAAAATAATTGAATTTCTACACTTATTTTCTTATGAATTCTAATTTTTTTTTTAAAGTACTTTTACTTAAAATTTCTAACCAATTCCACTTTCCCTGACTTTTTTCCAAAATTTCGACTTTTCCCTGACCTGTAGCAATAGTATTTTCATTAAAATTTTAAAAAAATAACTTTTTCAAGTGTTTGGCATTGAATTTTAAATATTTTATATCTATTAAATATAGACACTTCAAAAACGCATGAAAAGACTACATTTGAACTATATACAACCTAGAATTAATAAATTATTGACATATTTGAAAAAAAGTTACCTTTTGTAATATTTTGGTATTATATTGACATTTAAGTTTAAATAGTTTCTAGTCATTGCATAGACGCTCCAGAAACGCATCGAAGTTTTCAACTTTATACGGCCTAGAATTGAAAAGTTATTTTCAAAATTAAAAATTTTTTAAAAATGTCTCTTGCAGTTTTTAATAATAAATTGTCATTTAATTTTAAATATTTTTCGCCTACAAGATAAAAAATTTATAAGTAATTTTTTAACCTAAAACTTTTTGAAAAATTTTCCTATTATTTTTAGTTTCCTGAGAAAAAAGCTACTTCAGGAACTTAAAAAAACATTTTTTTTTCTTTCAGATTGTAAAAATGTACGGCAATGATGCAATTTATAATATTTATAAAATAAAATTTCTCATGAGGGAAGCAAAGTATTCGTAAAATAAAGACAAAAATTTTTCGTTTTAACTTTGCAGCAGTTTTAATTATTAATTTTCATATGTTTAAAAAGAAATACTTTGAAAATATCTCTTCCTAATGGTAGAGAATATTTCTATCCGACATTTGCATCTCAATTGTTCACTAATTGGTCAGAATTGACGATTAATAAATTCCAATAAGAAGATCGGTGCCGATCTCGAAACATCAAAATGTTTTTCTCTTGATCCAAAAAATTGATATTATTAAAAAAAAAAATTAAAAATTATTACTAAAAAAAGTTGTTTTTTAGTTTCTATTTGTAGACACAGTTATCTTATTTGGCTAGATTATAAAAATCAAGTCTCACTGGTTACAATTTTTATTGCTAGTAAGACTTTCGACTTCACATGTTATCAATTTTTCAAGAATTTTAATTGCAAACTTTGAAAATAATTGAATTCATTCTAATTTTTTAAAATTCAATTGTTGCCTTTTCAAAAAAGGGCAATTTTTAAATTCAGTAAAAAATATTGTATTATAGTGTATAAAATCTATTTAAAGATTTTTTTTTACTTTATCTTTTAAATTCAGCTTTTTTAAATTAAATTATTTTTTTGCTTAACCTTTTCTGTTAATTATTGATTTTTTTTAATCTTTTTCCGTAATCCGTAACTTTTTCAAAATTTTTAATCAACATTTTTATTACAACGCTACTTTTGTTTTAAAATTACACGAATTTTACAATAATAGGTATACGACGTAAATTTTAGAAAAAATTATTAAAATTAACTTGGGACTTGAAAAAATTTCCTTCAAAAATAGTAAAATTTAATATTCAAAATTGTTATTTCCGAAAAAACTTTTACTATTTATTTTCAAAGACAGTTTTTTTTATAAAAATTAGAAAACTTTATTTCAAAAATAGTAAAATTAATTCTAAAAATAAGAATATTTAATAGCTAATTGTCATGTTGGAGGAAAATTTGAATCATTTCTATTTAAAAAAAATTGACATTGGAAATAGTAAATTTTGCAATTAAAAATCGTCGCTTTCAGAGTAAATTTTATAATAGTAGTAAATTTTATTGAAAATTAGTAAAATATACTTTGAATGTAATAAAATTTATTCTGAAATTAGTACAATTTGTCAAAAATTCCAAATAATTTGGATTTTTCTTAGAAGTAAAAGTTATTTTATATTTTTTTTCTTTTATGAAAAAATTTTAAAGTTTAAAGGCTGAGAAATAATATAAAAAGATTTTTAAGTTTCAAAATACAAAAATTTTTCCAAACTTTGCGAAAAGTAGAAATTTGTTCTTTAAACATCTTTCAAAAATTATTTTAAAATATTTTTAGAAAATTAATGTTAATAATTTCTTTATTATAATTTTTTGAAGATATTTGACTTTAAAAAAAAGTATTGTTAACAATTATTGTTATAGAAAAATTGAATTTTTGTATTTAAATAATTGAATTCTCGAAGAACTTTTGGAAAATTATTAAAAATTAATATAGATAATTGATTTAGAGATGAAGTTTAGTTAAAAATTGTAGAAAATAATTGAATTTTGGTAGGGTTATGATTGTAATTTTTAAAAACTATTAAATTTCAGAAGGTCTTAAATTTAAATTTTTTAAATTTTATATCCCGTGGAAAAACAAAAAAGAAGTATTTAAATATTTATTTAACGAAATTATTCAAGTTTTAAATAATTGAATTTAGAAATCAGTGAAAATTCGACGCAAATACCATTTAATAATTGATTCAAATAAAAATTATTTGTTTCAAGCAAATATTTATTTGATAATGGACAAGTAATCAGTTATTTGAATGAAGTCAATTTTCATTACACACACTAAAAAAAAAGTTTTACTTTCAGCCTGTTTTCGAGGCTGAATTTAAGGTGTAAACGGAGTCAGCCCCATTAAACAAGGACAGACTTATGTGAAATACATGGGCTGAATTTAAGGTGTAAACGGAGTCAGACTTTTTTTTTCCTGTGCAGATTAAAAGAATTATGACATTTGGATTACGTAATTAATTATTATTTATTGAAAAATAATAAGATCATTTTTATAATAAAAAATATACGAAATGAAGATAATTAGAGATTTTAATATCGTGAGTAATTATTTCGATCACTATATGAAGCAGGTCTTTTCTGTTTGCGGAAGCAGCATTAGGAAACTACCTTGTTCTCCATTATGTATGAGGTAATTTTGATGATTCATTCTTTCACTAACTTTGATTAGAATTAGTGGTGTCTAGTATAGAC